TGAAAAAGTAATGGATCAAATGGAATCAAAGGTAGGTGATACACATGATGACCATGACAGCGATTTGGAGTATGATCAACTTGTGGATAACGTGTGGAAAAGAAATGAAGAGTGCAAGAAGCGAAGCTTTAAACAGTTAGTGTCTATGATGTCCTCCCAGTGTGAAAGCGATGCCGAGCTATCTGAAGAGTTAAACAACCGCAAAAATGCTGACCAAGTAATCCAACCACCTCAACCACCAGTGACGGCTGGTAATACCAAATCTAGTGAAATAGTTATATGCGACAGTGAAGAAGAGGAAATTTTAGACCCAAACTATCACCCTTCCCTGGACTCCGAATCAGAGTGTAGCACTGGAAGCTTGTCAGATAACTGCTCGTTGCAAGAAAGGGATGACATTTTAACTGATTTCGTGGAAAACGTAGATAATCTCGATTTTCTTCGTGTGGAACCAGAATGGAAGAGCGTGGTTGATGTTGTTTTTGAAAGAAAAAAGAACGCTGGTAATACTGACTCCCAAAGCAATCTTTCACAAGGTAAAGTGCCTAAGGAAGTTATGAATGATGATGAATCATCAGTATACGATAGCGATGATGATGATAATGACGACTGTCTTGAAGAGATGGAAGATGATGTCAGTTTTGAAGACAATGATAGTAGTGATGACAGCCCACTGCTTAACGAGTTTCATTCCTGGTTGATAGACGTAGACGGGGGTTATCGCTGCGCAAAAGTGGCTGGTCAGTACAAGTCACAGGTAAAACGCATCATGAAAGTTCTTTCAGAAGATTTCCCTCAAGCAGCAAATGAAATAGATCTTGTTACTGTCGAGGGGCATGACGGAGTGGTAATGTTGAGGAAGTGGTTGGGTCAACTATCTGAGGAGTATCAACCTGGAACCATTAGATCATACCTAATGAGCCTTAGGCTATTCCTTAAATTCCTTGTGCAAGAAGAGAAAGGGCAAGATAGATTAGACACACTTCATGCAAGGAGAGATCTTTTAACTTCGTGGTCATCTGCTCAAAGAAAGAAGGTGCTGAAAAGGAAATTAGAGAAACATGACATGGACTTTGCAAAACTCCTTTCTAGCGAAGATCTATATAAAGTGTCAAATGGACAACAGCGAATAAACATAATTAAAGCGCTTGGAACAGCTGCGGAGAAAAGCAAAGCTTGTGGAGAACCTGTGCTGGTCAACGATCAGACCTTTTGCGAAGTAAGGGATTGGCTGATTACAAGATTAATAATTGACAACTCCGGAAGAAGTGGTATTGCAGCAAATATAACAGTGGAGGAATTCAAAGATGCTAAACTGTACGCTGGAGAAGAAGATGGAGAGAGATACCGCGTATCAGTTAAGAATCACAAGACAGGAGGTGTTTATGGGGCAGCCATTGTATGGTTTCATGCTGATGTTTACAATCTGGTGAATACGTATATCTCAAGGGTGAGGCCTAAGTACGTCAAAGATGCCACAGATAACATGTTCGTTTCAACCAATGGCGTTAAACTTACTTCATCGCAAGTATCCACGTGTCTGACTCGTACATTTCAAAGGGAGGGTGTGAAGTTTCACGGTCGCATCTCCGCAACCTTGATAAGAAAATCTCTGGCATCAGGAGTGCATGTCCATTTGCCTGAAGATCAAGAACAACTGGCTGCCCTTGCACAGCACAAACCTCAAACACAAGCTCAATATTACCGCATCAATGACAAAGTTAGAGAAACAGATATTGGGCGTCGTGCTGTCAGAAAATTTATCACCATGAACTGCGCAAAGACAGAGGTAAGTACTCTTATAATGCATACCAATCGTAGTAATTTGAATAACAATTGGCATACGAATTCTGATTTCTTTTAGGTATCAATAATTCCTGTCGAGTGGACCGAGGAAGAGACCTCAAAACTTCAAGATTTATTCAAGTCTGAAATTGAGACTGGTAACATAACTGAAAACATTGTCAGAGATAAACTTGGTGCTTCCAACCTGTTGGAAACACACTCCATGAAGGCAATTGTGTTGAAAGTGAGAAGGCTTCGATCAGAATTTACCAAAAACTTAGAACCACCAACTGAAGTTGAGTCTCCTGAACAGAAGATAGAACGGTTTATGTCTTCCAGAGCTCCATCCATCGCATCTGAATCTGCAAAGCCATCATGGAGTAAGTTCACCGATGAACAAACAGACCATCTCCTATCGTTAACTCAGGATATGATTGAAAACAACGCAGTAAAAAGAGAGGTCGTTTGGGAACGGGTGATAAATGATGAGAAAGCATGGAAAACCGGGTTGGTCTTCGGAACCGATGATGAGGAGCTTCTTTTGAGGCAAAAACAACGTTTGGCGGACAAGGTACGAAAAGAAGTCAAACGTCAAAAGATGAAGAGAAAGTAGTAGTTTGATCCTGTGGTTCTTGCATTATATTTGAACATTAGTTGACATTGAACATTTCTTGTCTTTATGTATTCAGGGTTACAACATAATTGAGTCCTATATTGTTAACATGTTATTTTCTTTAACCGTTTGCCAGTCATTTTATGGTTGATCGTTTTATTTCAAGTAAGTCAATATTCCCTAAAAAGGCCGATTTACACAATGCAATTTCTTCGTGTGTTAAGGTTCGAACGACAAGTCATAGGGTCGTGTACGACCTGACGAATGACCGTTTATATGGTATGATTCGGGTCACATGCATCAAGTCATATACTACAATCGCATCGTGGAAATCGGCCTTAAGAGTCATATACTACAATCGCATCGTGGAAATCGGCCTTAAGAGTCATAGAATTTGTCTTGGTGACTGATGTGTGTAGGACATCGACTTCTATGAAAAAGATTTAACTTGTCTTGGTCTTGTTGCGAGGTGTTATAAAGTTGAATTTTTCATAAAGCAAAAGTTGTCGTTTAAAAACTTAGCTCCAAGTGATAAAGCTTATATCTGGAATTAAAAGAGTTTACTTTGAGACTCGTTGTCATGAACCTGCAATATATTGTCTTTTTAAGTGCAGTTCCAGTTGAGATTTTGTGGAAGTTTCATGACGTTTTCGAAAAGTTTAGGGTGAAGTCACTAAGCCCGTGAAATACATATTAGACTAACACACTTTATTAACCACTAATTTCGTTGTTTCCTTTAGTGTCTATTGAACTATTACATGTTAACAGTTAAATATTTTTTTATGGGTTTAACTTTACCCTAGTGCAACTTTTGTCGTCATAATAGAGCGATATCGCATAACCCCCTTCCTAAATATTGGTGTTTTATTCTAAATGAGCCAATACAAAGATAACATTAGAATACTTAAGACTTTATCTATTGTTGTCTTTCTACGATGTCCATTAACCTTTAACTAATATCCACTTGCTTTTAAAAATATTTATATCGCTCTGTAAACCTCACAAACCGGTGAAATTGCAGCTAAAATCGCCATTGTCATAGAGCTTTAAGGATGATCAACACGCACGCCCAAACTTGTATGCGAGCTGTCAATAGGATATGTATATGTAATCGCATGGGTCCTCGGGCAATTAAGGATTAATTTCACGCGTATTTCCAAACTTTGAAAACACCAGTGAAATTAATCCTTAATTGCCCGAGGGCACTTGCGATTTCTTGTTTATCACATAAAGGGCAAAATTATCGCGGGAATCCATTCACGCGCGACGTTATTCTTTTAGGAAGCCCGTTCAATGCCGCGACATTGCTCATTTTTTCCTCTTGTCTTTGCCCATTGTTGGAAAATGTTAGTCCAGTAGTCCGTACTTCTTTTTGTGTTTTTGTGCTCACTTGTGTTTAGTAGTTCCTCAATAAACTCTTCAACAAAATGGGAAGCCATTGTTGCAGAAAATTTTAATCGGCAACAAATCTAAGCAATAACTTCATTACAAAGCAACTTTAAACCAATCAAGATCAAGTAATCATGCCCTTTTGATTACCAAAAGTACCCTCGTGATTAAGAAAAAATGCCCTCTGTCTCAGCCAATCAGCACTTAGTAATTTTGCCCTGTATGTGATAAGCTACATAAAATGGGAATTTGCTAGGTGTAGAGTTTTGCTCATAAATCCAATTAACAGCAATAAAATCTATCGAAAAACCAGTGGCCATGTTTGTAAAGTAAAGCGTCATGTCTCTTCTGAAAATTAGCCGTTTGCGCATTTAGTAAGAGTATCTAAATTTTGTGCTAGCAAACTTAAGGTGGAATCCCTGTACATGAAAGGGTATCATTTACTGTTCCCCTCTTTTGTTGGGAATCTACTTCCCTGAAAAAATAAGCTGGAAAAATGTATTTTTACGCGTTAAGAACTGTGCTTAATTTAAGTAGATCTACTGAGTACAAAGACTGTCTCAGGCCTGCTAGTATGGACACCTTAACCCAAGACGTTTTACTGCGTCTTTAATCATGTTTAAGGTATACAAGCGACAGGAAGCTTCGTATATTTCTAATTTTTTTACACCTAGAGTCTGTCATTACAATTTGCGCTCCTCTGCTCTTAATGTTTCCCAGCCTGTAAATACCTCTAGCCATATTCAGAGCTCTTTTCATACACTATCTCTCATTCTTGGAACCAGTTACCATCTTCAATTAAATCAGCAACCACTTTATCGGAATTTAAGTCTGGCCTATCTCGCATAACTACGCTTGGCTGTAAGCCTATAAGTGTATTAGTATACAATTGTAGAGGTAGGGTTATGAATTGGTAATTAGGCTTGGGGTTAGGGCTATAATGTTAGGTGATTAGGGCTGGTAGGGTTTCAGGGGAAGTTCAGCATCGGGAGCTAAGTGATATTTTTGCGTTTTTATCATCTTTGTCGAGCGTTTTTAACATGAGCCATTAGGCTCGGGGGATTGGGTAACCACCCCCTACGTTGCCGACGTGAAAAAAATTGTTGTTGTCCACGTGATCAGTAAAAAATGGTCTAAAAAAGCTTTATTTTGTTAATTCAATTAGTACACTGGGCAGGGAAATCATCTTAACTGTCAATATTGCTCCGCTTCTCTTTTTAACTTGAATGTCGCTCAGTCACGATATTTCTGCTTTAATTCAAATAATAACACTTTTAAAAAATGTTTAAATTATTTTCCATGTTCCCTTTCACAAGGCGTCTTTTAGCTATGCAAACAAATTACCAGAATTCCGCTTTATTCAAGTTTTATAAGTAAAAATGTCCCATCAATTTGGCAAAGTGGGTATTTGCTACTTACAAGTGGGTATTTGCTACATAAAATGGGTATTTGCTACATGCAGAATTTCGCTCGTAAAATTGATAAAAATGAATGGAATAGCTTGTAAACACGTTGTAAATTCTTAAAAAATAATGCGTCATCCATGCATGCGAAAATCATGGCATTAGAATGAACTAAAAGTGAAATAATGCGAAAAACGCATTTTTAGAAATGTTTGGGTTCCAAAGTTTCAAGTCTTGTACACCTACATACCCAGAAGCGCACTTTTTGCTAAAAATGGTCTTCACAGAAAAAATTTTAAAACGACAGAACTCAGAAGGCTTTTACGGCAAAGAAGAACATTTAGAAGACCTTTGATATCCGGAAAAGTTTTTGAATTTTATAAAAAAAATGATTGATGTACCTAGGTTTGGGTATTTGCTACCTTCTGACTTTTCAGTGACGAAATGCGAACAACAATTAAACTTTAATAACGTTGGTTTTGCATAGAAGAGAGCTAAAAAGCAATATTCTTTTGGCTAGAATTGTTAAATACTTTAAAAAAAAACTTTTACTTAATTTAAATAGGCATAGAGAAAACGCGTAGCAAACACTCACTGATGAATCTAAAGAGAGAGAGAGAGAGAGAGAGAGAGAGAGAGAGAAGGACAGAGACACTTTTGACGTTTCGGCCGAGCCGCTAAACAAAATTTAACGATGAAGTTGTGGAGGGTAATAAAGAAATTTTCCGAAATAGCATTTACCCCTGGTATTCTGTCAAACTTTAACGATTTATGCCAGAATTTCGTTTTCAATCAGAGTTCTCTGCATTGTCCTCAATTTATTGGCAATGTCCATCATAGCAGGCATGAGATTTTAAGTAATAATCAGTTTATAATCTCTTGTAGTAGGCTAATGTCTCTCAGTGTTCTTTTTTTCTTATGATACTCTACATTAGTTTGTCATTAAAGCATCTACGACGCAATAGGAGGTGTCGTATGGATATGGAAGCAAGTCCTCGAAATCCAATTGATCGTCACATCGGATGACGCTAATTTCGTCTTTGTGAGAGTTTGAGCTAACTTAAATATAGTATTACGTCGGCCGCTTCAAGCTCAAAGCTAACTTAACCTTTTAGATAATTACGTACGTCTAATTACGTGTTACACCGGTATCTCCACTGTTGCTGCTGGTGCAAAACTCCACTCGTAACCTCCACCGCATCTTTAGTTTTAAAAAAATTGTTTTATGTCTATCCTATTTTTCCATGAGCTGTAACCCTTTATTGCTTTATAAAGGTCTGTAACTAGATACGGAAAGACTTCGAGGACAACAAACTTCTCCAAATCCTTTCTGGTTTGTTTTTTAAGTTTGTCAGCGTGGACGTACGCATTTCGGATAAACCGTACGAGTTCAACAGCCGATCTGGTATGGTATTCTCGTTTGGGCCATTTAAACATAACATCGTCATAAATATTTCTGATCGCATCAGACCAATGAATGGTTGTGCGAAAATGATTAGAGAAAAACTTTTCCAGATTACTTTCCACTCCACTCAACTTACGTAGGAGACCAATACGAGGCTCTTTAAATTCTTTAAGATCTCCTACTGATTTCAGAAATTCCACTTTCCTACAATCATCCCAGAAAAAAGGAAACTTGCGCAAGGAGGAGGCTGTTGGCCGACTTTCTGGATCTTTTGAAAGCATTTCCGTTATGAGGTGGAAAGCCTCTGGAGAGAGAGAGGAGCATAAATGCATTTTGTTCCTGTGAATGTTTTGTTCTATTTCGTGAAGATTTGACTTGAGCGACTTGTCAGAGCTGCTAAAAGGATGCTTCTTTCCCGACATGACATAGTGGAAAAGAATACCACAGCTGTAAATGTCGGTGGCTTTACTGTGCCTTTCATGGGTCTTTGCCAAGAGCTCAGGGGCCATCCAACAACGTGTTCCCGCCTTTGAGTGCATCACAGATTTGCTGTCAGTACTAGTTTGCTGCAGGAATTTACTGAGTCCAAAATCGCTGAGTTTTACGATAAATTCTGGCTTGGTTCGATACAAAATGTTTTGAGGTTTCAGATCCCGATGAAGAACATCGCTCCCATGCAAAAACTTCATACCAAGAGCAATCTGTGAGCAGATTGTGAGGGCCTGACTGCTTACTTTAGTGGAACTGAGATAGTTGTCTAAAGAACCCTCCATCAGCTCTATAACTATGAACTCAAAGTTGGAGTCTCTTGTGCAAGTGATGTAATTAACAACATTCGGGCAACTTGACAATTTTAAGAGGCAGCTGATTTCTCTCTCAAGCATACCTTCCGTCTTTGCTAATCTCGCTTTTTCCAGACGTTTTAATGCTACTTCTCGGCCATCCATCTTATTGATCGCAGGAAACACACAGGAAAATGTACCTTTTCCTATTGGCCTCGTATGATAGTGGTAATTTTCAACATTTTGAGAGTTCTTACTGAGCACCACCTCAGACAGTACAGCTTTATGGACGATGGACTCAGAAATCCATTTCATTGTTTTTGGAATCTTTAACCTTTGATATTTAGAGAGCATATCCTTGCAAGTCTTCCCATCAATATCAGAGAGAGTCATGTCAGCATTGTATCTTTCAAGAAGTCGAATGAAATCGATTGTTTGTTGGGAAAGCGAGGAGTCCGTTTCACTTACTTTGTTGCAGAGCAAATGCAGAGGTGTTTGTCTGCACTCGTTTTGCACATTAACCTCACATCCATGGCCGAGCAAATACTCACAGATTTCTAGGACATTTTCATTGTTAACAATGCATAACGTATGAAGTAGGTAGTCTCCACTCATATTTCTATAACGCCTGGCAGACTCAGCCATGTCCCGATTTTGATCGTCTTCGAAAATTGCCTTCAGAAAAGTGAATGCACTTCCAAAAGATTCGTTTCCTAAAAGGACTTCAAATGGGCACTCCCCATCACAGTTTGCAATCCAAGGATTCATTCCAAGGGCTAGAATTCTGCTCCATAAATTTGGTTCAACCAAGTCTTCTCGCACAAAACCTTCCTTCATTAACATGTGGAAAGGTGTATCTCCTTTGTTGTTTCTTGAATTGACGTTTCCACCATGGGAGACGATTTCGGACCCAATTTTAATCATTTCATCACTGATTGATGGGAGCATCAGGCTTGCCCACATATGTAAAGCTGTGTTCCCTTCAGAATCACTGGAATTGATTTTCATTTCATACTTTTCCAAGATGGGAATGCCTTTGCAAACTATCTCACGCCCCTGGGATGACGTTAAATGGCCAGTTTTTAAAAGGGATAGGAGAACATGCAGAAGAGACCTGTCGTTTTCGTCTTTGGCGTTAGGTCTTGCTTTAGCCTCCAAAAGAAGACTCCAGGTTTTCACAGCTTGAATCCCGGAATAATTGCCATATGCCGGATAAAGAGTATCAGGCTGGCGGTGGGCACCAAAATTACATGAAGAAAGTAGGTAGGACAAACTGTACAAAAGGGGAGTCTCACTTAAGTCGTCTCTTTCATTAGGGTTAGCTTTGTTTTTAAGCAAGAAAGTGATAAAATTGTACCATCTCTCAGGCAAATTACTTGCTATCGCTTTTTCTACAGCGTGAAAAAGACATGTGTGACCTAGCTGATCTTTTTCGTCAATTCGGACTCCTTCCTGAATAAAAAATTCTGCCAGTTGCACATTTGGCATGGAAAGCATGAGGTATGGAAATCCTTCTACTTTCCCGTGAACAGAACATCCAGTTTCTTTAACCAAAATCTTTACTGCTTCACAAACCTCTCTATCATTCCAGCAGGGATTGTTTGGATAAGAATTATCTGGTCTCGTGTATTCTTCCAGGTGCCACATAAGCTTTTTTAACATTTCTTCTTTAAAGGTAATGTCCAGTTCCCTCAAATATGTCTGCAAAAGTCTTGTCAGATTGCAATCCTGAATAGCGTGTAATTTCTCGGTTATTCTCAATGCGTCTTTGTTCGAAGTTACGATTTCAAAAGGGTGTTTAAATTTTGTCATACCATGTTTTGGATAAAAACAGAGGTGGAGGAACAGTGATGGAGACATGTCCTCTAATGGGGAGATCTCTTTGAACAGCTCTAGAATATCACAGCGGTGGAGAGTAATGGCAAGCTCTCGCGCAGTTTTAAAATGTGCGCTTTTGAAGTAGTTATCGTTACCAATAGTTTTGTAATGTGCAAAGAACGATTTTACTAGCTCTTGGCTTCCGAGCAGAACTGCACTGTGAAGGAGAGTCCAGCCATTTGAATGCAATGAAAATGATAAATGATCGTGACTGAGCATGTCACTAATTTTTTCAACAGCATCATCGGAATTTAAAAGGTACGAAGGACTTAAGCACTCGTGATCAATTACTCTGCAAGGAGGCGGGCTCTTGATAAAATTGGACCTGCGCAGACACACGCATCCCGTGAGATCTACCTCCTCAAGAAGAGGACAAAACCAAAGTAGAAGGTCTAGAACTCCAAATGGCCAAGTTTTGTCCCCTATGGTACAATATGCGAGAACAATTGAACGAGCATCCCTTGCTGGTAATAAGCACCAGTCAACGAAGTTGCGACACGAAGAGATGTGTTGGCGCGAGAAGTCAAGATCTATTTTTTCACCTAGCCTATGAGGGGAGAATTGAGAGATGGAACGCACCATTGAATCTTTTAGCTCAAAAAAATTGGAGTCTTTCAAAATAAAATCTTCCACACCATGTGATCCTTGCTCTGTTCCTTTTATAATCTCATATAAAGTACTAAAATCGCAACCTGTCCTGTCCAAAACCTCTTTTTCCAAACGTTGGACATCCATAGACTGTTCACCGGATGCTTTCAAGATGTCTAGCAACAATTCATCAAGAATAATGAGGAATTCAAAACTGGTTTCCTGGAAAAGATTGAAACAAATGACAAGAGACTTTAATAAAAACGCAATGATGAAAACGATATCAGTTATGGCGCTTTTGTTATGTAATATTGTGTCATTCGTATATGCCTCAAAACAGGCTATGGACGAATATCTCAAGAACAATGAAAGATCTAATCGGCTCCTTTTTTGTTAAACAAATCTTGTTTAACCTTTTTTCCAACATTCTGAGTATCCGAGAAATTTCTTGGGAGCAGTATTATCGCCAGCTTAATAAGAGGGTCTCAATAGGGTGATGGCTTTTACGGCTAACGGTTAAAGTTTTGGCCAATTTAAGGCTAATAGTTAACATCTTTCCATTGTTTCCACCAGACAAATTTTTTACGGTTAACTTTTTTTACGACTAACGGTTAAAATTTGTCAATTTTTACGCCTAAGGGCTAAATTTTTTGGTCGTTTTACGGCTATCGGTTAACCCCGTTGAGGACCTCTAATATTCTCTTGCATAGTTTTTCTACAAAGAAACTGACGATTTCGAATTTCGTCAGGTGTAACGCGACACCTAAGAAACTTCTACCCCGTGCATTATCACTAGGGATCATTAGGATTATTGTCATTAGGGATTATTATCATTAGGGATTGTCATCATTCATGATTAGGGATTAAGCTATGATTAAGCTATTATTGGATGAGGTTGATAATGATATCATAGACTATCAATGCCGAGGTCTGAGTTACCTGCCGAAGCCGAAGGCTGAGGCTGATAACACAGACACAAGGTTTGATTATTCAAGATATCATACAATCAATTCCCTATCTCTTTTCTGATTGGTCGAAAGCGCACAGAGAATTTTCAATTTTTCGCGCCTAGGACGTCATGTAGCTGCAGATTATACAATAATCACGTCAAAGACTCTGAAGGTCACGGGTACTCTTGTCATGTATGACCGCGGTGCATGATTTCCAAGGGTAATCATGTCAAGTTAACGCGCTTTGTACTGTCTGCTGATTTGTATATATTTACACGTATAGAAATTAATTATCAGTTCCACTTACTGTCGTGATCTTTTTTTTTTTCGTTCAATGTATAACAAAATGATTACAAGATTCGGTTTCTGTGATATCCAGAATAATCAAGGTCTCGACAGGGGTAATCAGCCTCAGCCTTAGCGGTTCGGCTGATAACCCTTACCTTGACCTTGAATATTCTGGATATCCAATATTATTTTGATATCATGCGAAATCAAGATGTAATAATTGTTTTATTGTTTTTTGCTAAAAGACAATTTTCCCTGAGTTTGCAGAAGTTTAAGAAAAAGAAGGAAAAAAGAAAGGTTGAGAACTCTACACGGATGAGGGGCTTGGTAGCTCGACACACTTTGAACTCGACATAATAAAAGAAATATCCGCTGCGGATATGAGGGTTGTCCAATACACCCAAATTGAGTCGATTCGTCGAAGGCAGCCTTCGAATCGATCTACCGGAAGTCGATTCGCGGTTACGGTAATCTGAATAAACCGTTCTTCTTGAGGTGGAAATGTCATACCGGAAGTCGATTTACAAGATACTTAAAATATATTCCGCAAGTGGCTAAAAGGAAGGGTTAGAAACGTTTTCGAATTTTAATCGATTCGAATCGCACGAATGGAGATGCCTTCCTTCCTTTGAAGATTTTGCCTCCAGAAATGAGACTGCTGTTTTTTAAAAAAATCTGTCGAGGACCAGAAGACATTCAAGCTATTGCTTTTTTGAACAGGAAATGGTTGCTCTCCTGATCTGATTTGTCCGTAGATTTTCTTATCCTAATCATGGGAACCCACTAAAGCCGAAAAGCGGGCACGCCGAGTACTTTTGTAATGAGCAACATCGACATCAAGGTGATCCCTTAGTTTTGTACGTCGCATCCTGTATTGCGCATAAAAATCACGTAATAAGGGGAATGAGAGCGCGCGCATTCCAAGAACACGGTTTTGCTTTTCAATCCATGACCGGGTAAAGAGGTACGATGATCTTAAGCTCTTGAACAAGCACGGTGACCTATATTTTTTATTGCATAATTTTGGTGAACAAGTTATCCCCTTTAAATTGGGGAAATTAAAAAATAATTATTTGAAAGGAAAAAAAGATGAAGCTAAAAGCGTGCACGAAGCCCATTACTCAAGGATTTAAATTATAACCTAGAAAGGAACTACTCGAGGAACGTTTTGAGTCGATGTCGTTTAAATTTGGGTAATTTTCCCACAAATTATATATGAAATTGTTCCATACGCTCGAGACTTTCCACCTATCGAGTTTAGTTAATTCAAGTGTTACTTCAAAAACCCTTGCTTCCAGCTGCAGCAAAGTGTACCGCGAAGCGATGAAATGACGCGCGTGCTTAGGAATGGTAATAGGACCGAGTGGAGTTCAATTCGGTCTGTAATCATACAAGCGATTTTAAAACATAATCGGAAGACTGCGAAGCAGAAGTCCGATTTGTCAATCACGAGTATGATTACAGAAAGAATTGAACGACACGAAGTCCTGTTACCAATCGATCAAAACTATGACAAAATTTGAGAAAGAAACTAAACATCAGTTATACGTTTTTACAAAAATAAAACAACAATTAACACGGCGAAATGCGAGACAACAGCGTGCGCACATGACACTTTCTGGTCCAGTATTACACAGACATGACATGTTAACTGTCCCTTTAACTGTCCTATTACACTGTCCAATTACAAGCATGACGCGTACACTGTCCTATAAGTGCTCAAATCCGGTTAGTTGGAACCAATCAAGTTCGAGAATTTTGTTATGGTTTTGATTAGTGCCAGTACAAGCATAATTGAGGTAACTTGGACCCATTATAGCTCCTAAACAAGCACGGTGACCTACCTTTTTAATTGTATTTTTGGAAACAGATATTGAAAGGAGGTTTTAAAAAATTGTTCGATAATTTTTTTTCTGAGGAATCCAAGTATGTCCAATGTTACGGATCGATACAAGTCGTTTACTGTATTCACGAGTTGTCTAATGTATTCACGAGTCGTTCGACCCGTGCCCCTTATCAGGGAGACTAACACTGAGCCCTGATGGTGGTGCGTCGATTCGTCGAACCATGAATATTCACCAAGGAAACCATGGAAACGAAACGAGTCGTAAGGCTGTGCTTTCTTTCCATGAATGTCATTAGGGAGACTTTTTCACCATAAAACCACCGCTGAAGTGCACAAGACTTGGTCTCCTATCGGTTTCTTCCAAAAAATCATATTGATATCCGCTCGCCGTTAGTAACGCATCGAACAAGTTTGAAGGGTTGCCACAAAAAACAAATGATGCATATCGTTTCCATGGTTTCCGTAATGAATATTCATGAATCAACGACTCGTACGAATCGACACACCACCCTCAGGGGTCAGTCCTCTCAAAGTGGTGAAAAATATCTAAATCTCCCTAATGACATTCATGGATAGTAAGCACAGCCTTACGACTCGTTTCGTTTCCATGGTTTCTGTAATGAATATTCATGCATCGACGAATTGTATGACTCGTGAATACATTAGACGACTTGTATTAAGCCGTGATATTAGACAACCCTCCATTTAAAACATAAGTGTGCATTAACGTGTTGTTCTGCGAATCGACTTCCGGTGAGACGGATCGACTCTAATGAAGAGGAGTCGAGTGGACTCGTGCGAATCGAGCCCTGGATAAAGTTGCTAAGGTGTGGTCTTTGAAAAGAAGTTATATCATGGACGATGTAAATGGGTACCAGTGAACTACAGAGACTGAGGAGATACTGGAGGTAATTTGCGATGGAATAGTATCCTTTTTATCATAAGAGTAAGGAACATATATCAACAATAACTACAACAACACAGAAATCTTTGTTTGCCAGACAACAATGGGCTGTGAATTTTATATCATAGTTTGACTTACTCTGGTAATTAGTGCTGTTAATTTAACTCATTAACGTCACATACATCCAAGCTACTCACTGTTCGGTTAATCCTCTCGTCATTGCCATCTGCCTTCTCCGGGCTTCTATTTTTCGTTTCGCTTTTTAAAGTAGAGGTGTTCTGGTCGTCATCACTATCCCCTGAAGAAGGAGCTAACCCTAATAAAGAAATCATTCTATCAGTATGGAACTAACATTGTTTACTTGGAAATAAACGAAAGGAGATCGAAATTGATACATCATCCGGCAGCATTTGGATGGATAACTCACTGTGTGGTGCTTCTTCATCGTCTTTTGTAACATAAGGTGGCAAAGGCTTCTCCTCTAGTAAAGTTACTTTCTGACCTTCTTCAGTGGCTACCTACAAACCATAAAAAAACGCAGATAAGCCATATATCAAAGATGTCGTAGGAGATTCTGTGAGCTTATGGCGCCTGGCTCCGAATCCAGATGAAGCAGTTTAGTTTAAGCCCTAGATGAAGTCGTTATGGTGTTGTCCTTGAACAAGAAATGATACCAAGGACGATGTAAATGGCTATCAGCGAGCCACCGAGGCTGGGGAAATATCGCAGGTAATATTCGTTAGAATAGCATCCTTTCGATTCTAAGAGTAAAAGGGTTAAAAACATAAAAATCTCTGCTTGCCAGAACTACCATATAGACTGATTCAGTCAAGCTAATTCTTAGTGCCGTTAACTTATGAAGGTCACCAACATCTAAGCCGCTCGCTGTTTGGTTAATCCTCTCGTCATTGCCATCTGCCTTCTCCGGCCTTTTATTCTTCTTCTTATTTTTCTTCTTCTTTACACTTTTTGCAGCAGAGGCCTTCTGGTCATCAATATCGTTCATCGATTTCGCCTCCTTACAAGAAAAAGCGCTTAGCATCAGTTGACGTCAGACTTCGCTGATTACTTTTCATCTTGGTCAATATATCAATCTGGTGACCATCATGACAAACACGTGACTTTATCCGACGTCAGACTTCGCTAACTACTTTTCATCTTGGTAAATATATCAATCTCGTGACCATTATGACAAACACGTGACTTTATCCGACAACTACACGGCTACCTTAAGGTGGCTCAAAATCGTTTCGATATATAGAAAAAATAATTTAATTGATGGATCTTAGCCTCCAGACTTTTTTGTTTTACCCCTAAAAGTCTGTATGAAAAAATTCCCAACTATTTCTCGACAAATTGTGATCATTTCTCTGACTATATTATAATTCCATTGTACCATTACAACCTGGTGTTGCCATGGTAACCTAATATGTTATAAGAACATCAAAAGGTTCTTTTCATGCTATTTTCATTCCCCAGATTTCGATAATTGCGTGTCGAACCTTGGACATCGCATGAACTTGTACGTGATTCAAGCTTAAAGCCACAAAGTTGGCTTTAGTTCTGTAATTGTAAAGTATACCTCTCCGTCTGGTTCTCTAGTGAAGCCTTCTGAGGTAGAAGGCATGGAATTTATCTCTGCATGTTTCGATTGAATGTGTGCGTAAACTCTCTTCGGCTGAAGTGAAATGAAGAGAAAGGAAAAGTTGTCAGTGAGTTTCCACAATTAATGTTGGACGTCCCAGTCTAGTTTGATGTCGCAGTTATCATTTCTGTCCCCTCAATGCATAACATTCCCTTAATATCTTAGTAATAACATAGTACTATTATAGCGCAAATGGAGAACACACCTAACTAATACGAACTCGAGGTCTGAGGAGATTAGAAATTTGTACGATTATCTGAATGTTACCGGAGGCAACAAGGTTGAAACAAAGAAAAACCTCATTTGTTTCAACAACTAGGATTCCGAAACTAATTACCACCAAAAACCTAAATGATCCGTTATAAAGGTGACCTGCATAAATTGTGAACATGTATCTCGCAGGAAAAAGGGATGTAGCTGGATTTATCAGCTTAATCTCAACAGTTACTACAAAATACTACATAACATTTGTTTTAGCATTTTTATGAAATTCATCAGAACAGAGAATATCGAGCTTAGAGGTTATTTTACGTGTCATTCGAAATGCAACATCAGCCATAGAAAAATTCCAGTTTCGCTTTTAACTTATTCAATATGTACCTCTCTTGCAGAATATTTACAATCTTCCCGTGGGCAGTGAAAGTGGAGCATATCTTTCTTACTCCAACCGCACGAATCCGGTGATGGGCAATTTTTTCGAGGCAGTTCCTTTCCGGTGCTCATCCTCACAGGTGTCAAATATCACTGTAGAGGGAAGACTATGCCTCCTAGTGAACTAATGGAAGAAACCTTACGTCAGTTAAATTCTATGGATCTAGATTGTTCAAGTTCGGTGTTTTCACTCCGTTTTAATCTCCTCCATCTTAAACCATCGTCTTTCATCTCTGCTCTGTTCTTACATTCATTTTTAACCTTGGTGTTCCTCTGTTCTAAGAGGCTATGATTTTGAAAGTTACGAAGGGCGAATTTCTAGCGGTTCTCCAGCACCCAGTTTGATCAACTGAGAGGTTTGTCACGAATTGAAACAGCAATTTTGCGCACGTATAAAAAAGTCTCTTAACTAAGGGGGGCATTGGGGTCTATTACAAACCGCAAAACCGTAGAAATAAAATCATCGAAAGCGCAAAAAAATTCGATCAAAACCAAAAACCGCCTGCAAAACCATCAACAGGATAAATTTTCACATCCCAGTCATCAAACCCTAATCGAACAACAATAAATTAAGTTTAGTCTAGTCAAGCCGCGATCTCTAAACATAAGATCGAATAAAGCTTTTGTTATGCAAAATTTCTACTTCCGGGTCTATCACTTTATATAATCACTTTATATTACTCACAAGGACATTGATATTTTAAATGTTCCTCTTAATCCAATTGCTAGAATGTTGCTTTATTCTTTCATTTTGTCCCTCCCAGTCGTGAACTAATAATTTCGATGTTGCGAAGTTATCGATAAAAACGATATTGTCGATACACGTTCGTGATATACATGTTAATTTCCCAGAAAAGTATTCAGAATTTCGAAAGCTTAACTCGTGCACTCTGTCGATTTTTCAGTGATAATTGAAACGACGAAATGTAACAGTTGTAGTAGAAGTGCAAGACTGACTCTCTGTTCTATTTATTCATGATCTCAAAGAGAGATGAACTTTCGAATGGCAAGGTCGTATTACTTCCGCTTTTCTTTCGCTTTTCTTTAAACTTGGATTATCAGTGTTTCGCAACACGTATTCCGACCAATTAACCTTGACCAAATTGAAAATAATCAGACGGATCTTTTCTGCCAATGCGTTTCACTTATCTTTTTTTTTTCTGAGCCATATCAAGATATCAAGACTTGCGTACATCAACAGCTACACCACATTCTGGTCGTTCATTCTTACCTGATAAGATGTCGCTTACGGTGAAAAGCTTGAAGATATGGTTGACACCTATGTCGAGACTTCAAAAAAAGTAATTCATTTCAAAGCTGATGAATTGAATTATCATCTATTTCTCCAGAGAAGTAATGAACTTGCGTGTCTTTGCTAAGAGGTGCAAACTGAAAATTCCTAGAATTAATTGACTCAGCGATTCTCTGAATTGGCCGATTCGGAAACGGGCATGCGCCTCGCAACATATCCGGATAAAATAACGTGACTTTCAAAAATAATCGTGACTTCATTCAGGGGGGGGGGGGGGGGGGGAAGGAGGTTACGATCGATGTATTTTATTTTAACTGTAAACCAAAACCTCTTTTCTCTCTTTTGACTTCTATAAAATCATTGAAAAAAAAATCTGTATGAGGTAGAGCCAGCCTTGCGCCATTTCCACTGATCTTAGTTCAACAAAACCGTAGAACGAGATCACGCGAAATGGAGCCAAGGGCCCTTCGTAGCTCTTCAACCGCACGGATCATGCCAAGAGAATAGGCATGACAAATTGAATTAAATAAAAGTAGAAATTTCTCGGAGGGATCAAGATAACACTAAACGTTTCGGATGGTGGAAAGAGTCTACTAGTAAGCTTCTCCGACAATCAATTTTCTTTCATAATTTTTGTGAGTCCCATGGAGTGCCTACTTATACTCGTTCCAAAACCAGCCCCTCCTTAAAGCTCCGTGAAAAATTTCTCAAAACAACTTATTTTTCTATTTTAAAAATATGAAAAGCAGACACGATTTTGTGGCCATTGCTGCTGTCGAGAGGTAATTGGCGTGGAGAAGATAAATTAAGGGTACTGGCGAAGTTCCCGACTGTACCCGGACCGAGTGAAGTAACCAGTTTTAGAGGTTTGTCAAACCCAACATATGAAGTTAGATAAAAGGAAAGATCATTCTTAGCAGGAGCTTGAAAGTTTGTGAGACGTATGAAAGGCGTCTTCTTGACGCGTTTCCAAGATGAATCGGGCGAAAATATACCAGGAAAATTCGCCTCGTTTGACACGATTGAATTGTTAAGAGATGTCTCTTCTTACGACTGGCATTAATGCAATTATCGCAGCGATAATATAGCTCGCAGTGACTCGCTCTGAGACAGCACATACTTCCAAACTTTGGGTTTAATGGCACACACCTGTCGCATTTAGTATCCCTACCTTTCCACTTAATCGCATTATGCGAAGTTGTTTTTGAGTCTACGGTGCCCAACGCAACATAGACCCCTTGAGCGTTTGATTCAGTCCGTGGACATTCCCATCATACGTAGCGGCCTTACATATGCAAACGTTGTTGGGAAAATGACCCAAAATTCACTCCTTGCATCCATAACTCCTTCTTCCACTCCTGCTAACTTTTTGGTGAGTCTGCCTACGTATAAGGCTTTCGCATGATCAGTTCCTGCATATTGCTCAACTGGTTACAGAGAATTGCTCAAAATTTTATCAGTCCGCAGACAAATAAGGTGTATTTAACCAACGGGTAAAATACGAGACCAGAAAATTTAGTGCTGGATGAAAATCGATTGAAATCAAGTCTGCGTGTACAAGGTCCTACCACGGTTTAATCAAATCCTGCGCATACGAGGCGCTCGGATTAATTTACTTTCGAGGGCGACAAGCTGTCCAACATTTCTGTATTTGTAGACCATGTTTCTAAACCTTTTTGCTCCGGAATTTGAATCTATGATCGCCAAAGAAAACACAATATCGTCGAACCGTACTCTGGAATGATTAAAACCTCTCCTTTCTTCAAAAGCGGTAAAGGAAAGACAGACGTTGCGCTTCGAAAATTGACTTGTCCGGTGCCGATTTCTGCTCACAAGAAGGTGATGTTCTGGATAAGAGAAAAACAATATGCTTTTGAAGAACACATTAAAAAGATAGGGGAAAATAAAAGTAAAAGTGTTTTCCACGTTTGTTCGCATGTGGGTGCTTTTTTAAGTGGTAGTTTTGATTTTAGTTGCACAATCACTACCTTTATCACAGCACTCGATGACCGATTTACTAAGAGCTGTACCTCGTTCTGGTAGCTCTTTCCCGAGTTTCGCAATCATTACCTCTATTACAGCATTCAATGACCGATTTACCTTAAGCTGTGCCTCGATCTGGTAGCTTTTTTCCGATTAAGTACTGTAGCAGTTTTCACGAATTGGTAACATGTCATGGCCGCACCTCTGGTTTCATGAATCACATCGCCCTCGATAACTTCCAGCTGCATCACCTTTAGCTCTAAAAAATGAACCCTCTGTGGGTTGTCCCTTTATTAAAGGGACATTTATAACTAAAAGCGGCGCTTAACCCTTCGACTCCCAGAAGTGATGAACTTGTAACTTCTCTCTATCCATAGTTTATCCAACAAGCACGTAATAAGAATACTTGAACTCATCAGGTAGAAGCTTTTATCTAGATCTAACACCAAAATCTTGTAACTATTTTACAAGGAAACGCGTAGCAACTAGAGAGGAGAATTAACAATCAGATCTTGGGAGTTAAAGGGTTAAAAAGTCCACTCATAGAGACATGAACTTTGTTGGAGGATAACTGAGCCTAGTGAGAGAATATTTGAGACCCAGTGTTAAAACAAAGAGCACTGTAGACTCGTGTACTAATGGGTGTTGCAATCGAATCGCGTGATTCGGGGAAACTAATCTGCACCCCATTTCTTGGAAGAAAAACCAACAGAAAAAAAACCGCTCAAAGTTTCAATAGTTTTACTTAAACAATTCTCTGTCACCTCAGTGGTGAAAAAGCAACACATCATTGCGCACGTGAAAAATAAATCACATATTTGGATACTTTCTTAGTTTCATTGTAGTTACAAACCAAGGGCTACCAGATGTAAAGAAAGTTGTCTTTTGTAACAATAACCTGTACGTCGACGCCATTTAGATTTTCAAATACTTCAAACGTTGACAATAACTTATGAAAAGACTTCATACTCCTGTTCATATGTTGTCATTAATTTATCAAGATGCTGCGTCAAACTCTGATCCCGCCAAAGTTTTCTGGCTAAAATGTCACGCCCGTGTCACGCTCGAGCCTCTAAGACACGGTTTCTTGGCATCTCACACATTTCGCACACTTCCAAGGCTTCGTGATTTGCAAATGTGCAAACTGAGCATGTCCAGGTGCGTTCTTCTGAAACACAAAAGAGAGCAAAAGAAAGTGCATCACAAATAAAATCAAGATCACGAGGTACAGTTTTGAAAAATTAACATGCTCCAAAGTAAAATCAAAATGTCCTAAATTTTCAACCAATTTCATTCCCCATGACACCTTACACCTCTATTGACTATAATACACAAAGAAGAAGAAGCAAAACGCAAGGATGAACACTCTTACTCTATTGAGGAGTCTCTTGGGGAACAAACTCAATAAAGAGGCAGCAAAAAGGCAGTAAAAAAAGTATGTGTGTTAGCAAACCAACAGGCTCTCTGTATCCCAGTTAGACATCAACACCATACAAAGCCTCAGAGGTTCAAACTCTCTTCGGGGATCAATTAATTTTTTTGCTTTGCTCCTCTCTCTTAAAAAATATCAACAGATCGTTTAACTAATTTACTGCAGAGACTGACAACCAACGAATTTGACCTTAAATTCTCATTTTTGACCTTAAATTTTCAAACCATCTTTAAGAAGACAGAAAACAGGTAATGGAAAAAAAGAAGAAAAAAAATAAAATGTCAATTGAAGAGTAGAAGATAGTAGACTTAAAATCATCCCAGATGTACATGTATGGTATATTGTGTATCTTCTCTAAAACTTCCAGCCTTTTGTGTTACTTTAAACAAAAAGTTTATCTGCCTCTACAACACAATAGCCTGTAGCACCAGTTCTTCTCGAATCAAAAGCCACAACGTTAATGGCAGCTTACTGCCCTTTAACTCATGTATTACCTGGTCGTTCGTGCATTACATTCTGATAGTTTGGAAGAAACACCCATTCGTTGGTTAAGCTTCCGTCCAGAGGAGGTGGAGGGCTCAGACTGGTAGGACTCTCTTCCTCTGAATGAAATCGAACAAAATCGAATTAAAGCTTAACCAAATATGGTCCGTCTTAGGAATTGTAAGATCAATATCAGTATCTGGGCAACTGCCCACTGACCCCTCCCCTAACCCAACATTAACCTTAACTTGTTGTCAATTGGCTGTTGTACATACAATGCAATGTTACTTTCCCTTTATGATGATTCAGTGTAACACTGGAATTGACCCACCCCCCTTTCTCTTACTCACATCTCCCCATCCTCTCCCCCTTCTCTCCACTCTCATGCAAAGAAGAAATTAACCCTTTAGCTCCCAGATCACATTTGTAATTCTCCTTACTGTCAACCATACAATTCTTATGTTAGTCCAGAGAATCTAGTATTGGATCCACTAATTATCCCCAAATTGATATTTTTCTTTATTCTCATCACTTGTCTGGTTGATATTGTATTGATATTGTAAAGAGAAATTCTGTCTTGGTCACTCATGGGAGTTAAAGGGTTAAGAGAAATTGAGGGTTGAATAAGAATAGCTTGTTATCATAATACACCTGTTACAACCCCCCCTACTCCTGTGCAGATTTAAAAATCAGTGTACTTTTATTGATAACCAGTGTATTATACAACTTTCTGTGATTAATAAAAAAAGGCACTCACAGTGTATGTAAATTTCATAGTAAACCCACTCTAGTAAAAAAACTCAGGAAATTTTACGGTGTGTTTAAAACATAAAACTTGTTCAGTCTTATTATAATCACCTCCCTAATTTTCACTTCCCTTGTCGTTAGAGCTTGTTTTGTAGCAAAACAGCACAGTAGCTCTGAAGCTACATCCCAGGTTTTATTTATTTATTTTTTATTTTGTTTTGGTGAAAAAGAATTGGCAAAAAGCTTGATCTTGATATGCTTCTTTCAATCCAGTATGAAAAAAGCACTGAGTACTTAAACTCCTTTTTGAGTGATAGGCTCATGAAGCTTTAGTAGGGGTGTGTCTAAGAGACTGTCATGTTGCTATCAATACATTTATAAACAGTTGCTGAGAAAAATATCAGTGTCGATGAAAAGGTAAAAAACCCAAAATTGATAAGATCAGTCCACTCACAAAATGGTAATTCAAGATAACAAAACCATTTCTAGTCCACTTAATACAACAATTTGCTATCCAACTATTGCTAACTGTTTTTTAAACAGTTGAATACCACAGACTATATTAACCTTGTAATTTGTTAGTAATATGATTATAATAAATATACCTTAAGTTGTACAATTCAAAGGTCATTCTACTTGTAATTTCAAATCAGCCTAATGTTGGGCACTTGTTTAATTTTTAAAGTATTTCTTCGATTATCACAAATGAAAAAAGGAGTAAGTTTCTTGAGAAACTTTGGTGCTGCATTGGTGGGAGAATGTAACAGGGTAATTTAGTATTATCAAATGAGTTGATAAGGTATATGGGCCATTGTAAAGAGTTTCAAAGCTGACATTTCGAGCATTAGCCCTTAAATTGTCACAGCTTGAATTGTACTTCAATCAGCCAAGTTAACACAATTAAAAGTTATTAATAATTAAATGTAATACCATGAGTGGGTATTCTTCCAAACATTGAACAGAATCGAGTCAGTGAAGGGCCATAACCTATGAATAAAAGATCACTTGTTGATAAGAGGCAATCCAAGGTGATCTTACATTAGACTCTCCTGGCAGTGCCATTAATGTATTAGAATTACAAGTCACAGTCACTCTAAGCAGAATTTGATAAAGATGCATTTTTGTTACAACAAAATATTTAATTCTAATGTATTTTGTTTCCCTTTACCCTTAACTTCCAAACATCTCAAGGCATATTCTACAAACTTTCCTTGGTACATTTCTTAAGGTGCTAACCACAACAAATTTGTATAACAAGCAAGAGCTTATCTAGTTAATGATCATTTCATTTTTCTCATGACCCTATTTGATTCAGGTGTGATATTGTAAGGAGAAATTGGATGCTGGTCACTCTTAGGGGTCAAAGGGTTAGGAAAATCCTACAGCCACACTGTGATGTATTTCCTGAAGCTTTATTTAAAGGCATCAATCATCATCTTACTCTGTGCTATGATCATGGTCATATTACACGGTGTAGTAACACATCTAACTTTCTTTAATATTTTCTACTTTCTAAATTTAATGTAATTTTTATGCCTCAGTGTCTGGGAACAGGCATGGGTCAGTGGTTTCAATAAATTAAGGAACAAACTGGTAGTTTAGGATAGGTTAAGGTAGCTTTATAGGCCTGCTCTTTCTGTAAAGGTCTTGGCTCCTGAATTTTCAAAGTTTAGGCTCTTATAGTTGCATTTTCATGTATTTTTGGTCTAGGTTGCTTTGTTGTTCTTATGTGCAAAGAGAGTTACATGTGTGTTTGTAGTGCAAAGACATTCATGGACAGGCCTTAAGTTGCTAGCCTGTGTTTTACAGGTGGGTGGATGTACTCCCAACCCATCTACTTTGATTGAAACCCCTGTACATGCACATGATTTCAACCACTGTAATAATTTAATTCTAGTTGAGATCTTTGGGAGTGAAAACTGAAAGGTTTTAAGATGAAGCTTTCCACTGCAGATGAATCGAGAAGGACACTTGCCAAAGATAATTGTAAATGGTTTGAGGTTCTCACTTGAATAATTTTTTAACCCATTACCCGCTAACATCAGTAGACATATTCTCCATACTGTTCTCTATACATTTCCTACTGTGCTGACAAGGAGAATTTATTTTAACAGTCTAGAGCTTCTAACATTGCTGATCATTTCCTTTATTCTCATGACCTTAATGTGTGATTCGGGGGTGATATTGTAAGGAAAATTAGATGCCAGTCACCATAAGGGGTTGAAGGGTTCATTGACATGTTTCCTCTACTAACATGATACATAAACAAAATAATCATCTACCATAAAATATCTCTTACCAAGATAAAACAATTTCTATTGTGAATGAGGCATTATACATGGTGACAGTGTGAATTGGAATTTTAGCCTCTAAGTGACATGATACTTACCATTTGTTCCACTGTGAGGTCGGCTTGAGGGAAAACTTTCAACTCTTCTCACTGCAAAAAAGAGATAAAAAGCTTAATTTTACACTGAAGGAAGAAATCTAGTGAAATCCCTTAAAAACAACGTGTAGGTTGATTAATTTTGTATCTTTCAGTGAATATTAATATTTTACCATTTACAACAGATTACCCCATACAAAGGAAAATACAATCATATAAAAAGGTTTCAAATCATTTCAACCTACATTAGCCTTGAACTACAAAACAACATGTGTACTTGAATGGTGGTTCACATATTGTACAGGTACTAACAATCTTTCTACATAAATATATTAATGATTTTGGTGTACTTTGCTTCTCACCAAAATATTCAATAATCATCAACAATTATTACATTAAAAAAAAAGGAACAAGTTGGTGCAAATTTTGTTGCTAATGTCAGACTTGACATACCTGGTGGAGGTTGATAAGGTGGTGGCGGTTGTGTTACTACTGGATTATTACTAGTATTTCCTATTAAAACTGCAAAACAATCAAAGTACTTAATAAATAAATCCACTTTGAAATCAATGGTGATTGTCGTAAAAGCACAAACGCTCAGCTGGGAAACATAACTATAATTTGCACTAGTTTTAGCAATAAATTGTACCTTTTTCATTGCTAGGGATGATAGAAAACTCACAAAAAAAATAATCAAATAATCCAAAGTACTTTGGTGAGATTTAAGATTGTAATCAAGTACTGAGTGCTGTTTCTCAAATTGACTATTGTGCAACCAGCTCTGTGCTCAATATTTTCCCTTTCAGCCTAACAAAATTCAGTAAATAAGTATTTAACCATATGACCACAAGTGCTAAAATTTCAAAAAATTTTGTTTCAATCTTAATTGGGATGGGACAGCCATTAGAAACATTCTGCAATAAAAATTTATCCATACCTTTTTTTTTCCGAGTCTCAACAAGAAACTGGCAGTTCATCAAAAAATGTAAGTTTTTATCTTATTGGTGTTTTCTTTTAAGTTTTTGCAACAAAACCATGTGAATGCAAGATGGCATTCTATGAGATTGCATGAGTGTGGTGCTAGATAGGTCATATGTGTATGATAATAAACAGTCTGAAAAAACTTGTTCTGGGAAAATATCCACTCTTTGAGAGACTTTGTTGCAATTATTAATTGATGTCACAGTCAAATATTTCCTTACCATCTCGACCATTGCTAAGTCCATCAATTTCACGAGTCATTTTGTTCGATTTCTTCTCTCAGCAC